CAGCAACAGTTTAGTAATATTTTGACTGATAATCTGGCCTTCTCATATCTAAGGAATTAAATACAATGATAAACCAAGGACAATAAACCTCCTGTTTTTAATCTCTTTTAATTAGGAAATGGAAACATTTCCAGAAAGCAATGCTGTATTCTTCTGATGTACACTTGTCCCCGGAAATGCCAAAAGGCCGCAATAGTGGATGTAAAACCAGTTAAATAAATAAATAAATTTTGATGTACAATTCATTTACAATTGGGGAAATGCATATTGAATATTTATGGTAAATATCTATGAAACTGATATAAATCAATCACCACACAAATTGATTAAAATCAATATCGAACAAAAGAAGGGGTGATTTCAGTAATTCAAACTGTATGAAAATGGTCACAACTTAAACAAAATCCAAAGCAGTATAAATTCTACTTGTAGTTCAAGGATAAAACACAAAAATTGAACTGATACAAAAGCTTGGAGGTCTAGAGGATTACAAAATTAGAATAAAGATATATAAATTATCATTTTTCCAAAATCAGTTCTTCATTAGTATAGATATATCACCACTACTGTATATTCTCAGTTCACTTTAGGATAACAACTTACGATGATGATGGCACAGCAAATTTATGTTTGGTTATAAGAAATGTACAATACAAAAGTCGAGGAAGATGTGCATATATCAGAAAGATTATAATGCAAGCATATTTACAATCCCGTTCAAAGCTATGTAGTACAACAAAATTTATTGGTAGATCATAACTTCCAATCCTATTACAGCTAACAAAACTATAAATTATATTATAGATTCAATATCTTATTCCATTCATAAAACTTTGGAAATCAGAAGTTACTTTTTTTTATTTGGAATGGTTACCTTACAAGTAACAACTCAGTGTTGGGCTGGTTGCTGCAGAGGCTGGAAAACTTAAGCATTTTGTACCTGTGACAGCTCTAATGTAATTTATGTGGGGTTTTCTTTTTACGAAAATAAGTAAAGCTTAAACTTCAACAAATGAACACTTATGAGTTTTAATTTGAAATTTGAAATCCCATGTCCTCTCCAACCATTAAAATACTGTTTAGTCCATTTAAGAAATGTTTAACAAATAGAATTTATGATATATAAATTTTCTTTATGTTCTAAAACAACCACTTCATCTGGAAAGCTTTCATTGCAGAGAACAGGTAACTCAGGGTGTCTACAATATTTCAGACATTTTGGACAAATTTTCTTGTCCAAAGTAATACAAATATCTTATCCATCATGGTATATTTACGTTATTTAATGTTCAAGAGACAATCCATGATCATTTGAACATTCAACATCCAACTGATCTATCTACTATACTCTCTATTTAAAAAACATTTATTCAGATAAATCATCTAAATTATATTACTTTTAATGCAGGTAATAAAGCTATTATGGTTGATGTATTCATATTAAAAAATGTAAAACTATATTTTGTTTAAAAGGGTTTTCTTCTGCAAATATCCTGTATTATAATATAGCAATCAAACACTTCCTGTCAATCTTCTCCCTGCCATCAATCATCAGAAAAAGGAGAAAATTGATCCACCTTTGTATGTGACATTTCATTATTTCATTTGGTAAATAATTTTATGCATGACATTAATCCAAATCGACATCTGACAAATGGCTATCCTTACTTGTCCTCCTATAAAAACCAAGACATTGTGTATATATGAAATTATAACAGTTAATGTAAGGAAAGCGAAATCGGAAAAAAAAAAAAAACAAAGATGTGCTGGAAAAAAGTATTAAATGTTTGTACATGAAATTTTTTTCTGGCTTCAATGTTTGATTATTCCAGCGTTGGATGAGATATCCACCCACACCCATTTACATTCTGGTAATCAGTAATGAGTTGTAATTACTAGTGTAAACACGGACTCAGACTGCACGCTCTAAACAGGTAAAATTGATTGTGAAAGATAAAGACATTAATTAAACAGTCCAAGCAGTAATCAGGCTTTGATGTGTGGGTGTGGCACAGAAACCAGGCCTTCCAATGTATTGTACCAATACTCAAAACTAATTATTTCAATATGGAATGAAATGTTTCTTTGTTGTTTTCAAAATGCACAAATTGAACACATTTCAGATTTGCGAAGTTGTGTACACAATAGAAACCCTCATGTAACTCACTCATTCTTCATTCTATTACTACCAGTCCTACCTCACATTTCTCAATCAACATTTTATAATTTGTGTTTATAAAGAAATAATTCAAATTTTATTTCAGAGAGCAGCCATATTTCGCTTAATGTTATTATTTTAAAACCTAAAGTTTGAGATATTTTAGTTAATATTATTTACAGTTTATAAAAAGTGTTTAATACAAAATCATAAAAATTGTTAATCTTGTAGATTTTGGTCCAAATACCCAAACAAAAAACAGAAGAAATAAAAAAACATTTAAATTTCAGTCACAATTAATCTTATATTAATATTTTCACATAGAGATAGCCTACACTAAAAAATCACAGACCAACAATAACTGAGAGATGGACCATAAGGATGCATTCCTTTGAGACATAATAAATTCAGTATTAAACTTTTCTGAAGATTTTAAAATTTGCTCTTCTTTTTCCAATAATGACATCCAAACATGTGTAATAACAATAATTCATTTTCAAATATTATTCTCATTTTACAAGCTTAAACCTGCATAGCAACCACCAACCAAAAGATTACTCGTATCATTTATTTGACCGTCTTCTAGTATTTGTTTAAAAGAATTTAGGTTTGCATAATGAAATTTCAAGGATATTTGTCATGATTGAAAAAGGGGTGGTTTTAATTTTTGCAATCATCATCCAAATAGCCATTTTTTTCTCTCAAAAGATCAAGAAACAAACTAAAATATTTGTTTACAGGTCAGACACTTTTCAAATTTTAATTATATCTTTCATGATTAACAAAGATGGGGTGTCTGTACTATAATTTTCACCCATGAAGCCAGTTTTGTCTAAGACCAAGAAACAAGCTGAAACACTTGTTTTGGGATCCTGAAAATTCAGGAAAGTGGTCTACCATGTCAGACTTCACAAAATTAAATTCTGAAAATTGTGATGTTAATTCAAGTAGAATGCAATTGAAATCTACCGCAGACTTCTGGAGTTATACGTAAAAGAAGCACCTTAGCAATGAGACATTGAACTTATTACCGGTAATGCTGTTTACTGAATCACGGTCATCTACGCCATTGAAAATGTAGCCAACAGTATACAAAAACACGAAAGTCTGAGATTTTATGTAGAAATTAATTTTATATTTAATTATGTTTGTTTCTTTTGCATCATAATCAATCTTTTGTTCTTTTTATTGATACTGGTAATTTCTTGTACAAATATTAACTTGGCGTAGTTTAAAATAAATTTTAAGAAAATTATGTGGTTTACTTCCCTAAATAATAAGACCTTTCCATAGAGGAGACATCATTACCCTATCCTCAAGTTAGGGAATGATCCTTTTCTGCCTCATTTTTCCATAAAACTAAATGGATGAAAACAATGAATTAAGCAAAACCAAAGAGGAACTTATATTATGATTGATGTGTTAACATCACTACTAAAACTATCACAATGTTTAATCATTGTCAAATTTCATCGTAATGCTCATTACACAAACAAGATGGGTAAGATATCATAAATATAGATGTTATATATCACTACGGTTAATAGAAAATAATTACAACTACTTCCACACAATTTACCATACAAAATTCTAATTTCCTTATGATGTTTCCATAAAAATCATATTTATTACAATTTTTATATATTATAACAAGTTTTACTCTAGATTTTTCTTTTCTCCGAATAAAAAAAATATCTAATGAAGAATCTTTGATTTATGAAAGGTCAACTTTCAATAATGAATCGTCATTGGTAGTTATCAATCATGATGGCAAGCATAGCCTTTATCAATCCATTTTTGTTTGAAAATATGCATCATTACACTTAATATGACTTTTTTGTATTCTAAAAAAAAGTTGGAATAGATCTGTGCTTTTACCTATATAAAATTTGATCTATTATGTGTCATTAGTGTTATTAATACATTATGGTTAAATATAACAAATTCCAAGATATATAATCATACATTCTATTATACAAATATATAAAAAATACATGTATATGATATATATATGATATGCTTTACTTATCAGTACTGTTTCCAATTGTATTATTCATATATATTGTGCTGAAAATCTTGTACATCCTCAATTTGATACTAAAATTGTTTCTCATGTGATGATATCAAGGACAAATTGAGCTAAGAAGAGTTGATTTTTTTTGTCAGTCACTCCATATTTACATTTCTGAGGTCATGGAAGTAAAAGTTGACTGCCAAAGTAACATCTGTAATTTCATTTAAAATTAATTGAATTTTAATCAAATTGGAAATAAAATCATCTATATCTTATTTTGTTTTACTTCATTTATTACTATGAATTTAAGAATTGTAAAATCTATTTTGTAAGTGTCACTAGTGACATTTTATTTCTGGATATACACTATTGGTGTGACCTGTTTACCTTAAAACAACAAGATCAGTGTGACACACCTCAGTGATTACACTCAGTGGTTCTAATCAACACAAGTAATTAGTAATCACCTGTTTTAGATCAGACAAGTGTGACCACTAGGCCCCACCCATCAACTCCTACCCAGACCAATCAGGGTAGTGGTAGGAGGTCAGCTTGGAAACCATACCTCTCATCCAAAAAGGATTTTTTCAAAATATGAGAAATCAGCTGTTTTACCCATAGCCAATCATACAATATCATTTCAATGTGAGAAGTATTCAGTGTTCAGACCACTCAATACAAAAACCTTGACATTCTCTACAGGGTCATGTCACTTTCTCTTGACACTGCTTGAGCTAACTTTGACCTTTGCATCTTGTACCTCAGACATTCTAAGTTGAACATTTTGGACATTTTGAGCGACCTGTGTCTCTGAACTAGTGCTGCATCATGGATGCTTTCATTGAATCGCTCAACCAGCCAATGTCTCCAGTGCCAGATGCTCTTGACCTTCCAGCGACCTTGAGCATGTCACCTCATGACCTGCTGGATGAGGTGATTTCACAGACCTTAAAAGATGAGTTGCCGGATCGTGCATCTTTACCTGATTATCAATGTACTGCTACTCTGACTAACTATGGAAGTCCAACTGAATCATGTGTGTGGACATCATCCAGTGACAACAGTGACAGTGATTTGAACTTTGACATTGAAAGCTTTGCATCAAGTGTCAATTCATCACCTACTGAAGCACCCTCTTGTAAAACTATTACCTATGATGAGCAGACTACTCCAGCAAGGAACCCTAACAACCTGTCATTAGCATCTTGTGAGCCAGTCTACAACAGTCCCGGGCTTGATAGCCGGTTCAATGACTCACTGACTGGACTACTAGGCAGTCCACCACCTGACAGTCCCCTTGCAAAGAATCCATTCTTCAATGACCTCCAGGCCATCCTTGTCAATGATTGTCGTGAGGATATGTTGCCACAGTCTCTATTAGCAACTATGACAACTCAGCCACAACCTGATGTTTTTGCCCGTGAGCAGGACCTACAGGAACGCTTCAATCGACTGACAGATAAGTTTCCAGAGGATGTCAAACAGTTGTCAAGTTTCTATCGTTACCAGGCGGCCCTTGTGGAGACCGAACGTTTCCGTTCACTACACATGCAAAAGTACCCTTCAGACTATCAGAGGTCACTGAACCTTCACTATGATTCCCAACTCCATCAAATCATGACTCGAGTTGAACAAAGTCTCACTTTGTTAGAGGAGTCTATGAACAAATGTTCGAGTCGGGTAATTAAACCACGCCCCCTTCTGTCTAAGAAGTCAGTGAGAGTGATGGAGGAATGGTATGACAACCACTTGGAACACCCTTACCCGACGGCATCCACAGTCGAGTTACTCGCAGATAAAGGAAAAATCAGTACAGAACAGGTGAAGAAGTGGTTTGCCAACAAGAGGAACAGGTCAAATAACACTCGCACACTCACTGAGATTGCCAAGGCGAAGAGGAAACGTCAGATGGTAGCCTTGTAATCGCTAACTTCTATGTGAATTCCATGTGACACTGAAGTTTGATGTACAATATGTGACGATAGTTATCCACTGGAATTCTATATAAGACTGTAAGTACAAACAAACTACCAATAGACTGATGTAAAAACCCAAGTGTATATGTAAGTGCTATGTACATATCTTTTTACTTTGTAGATTTCAACTTCAATAACTCAACCTTTCACATTTGTGCCAAACAGCATTGTACATTGAACATTGCTTTTTGTTTTGTACATATTAAAATTTGTGATAAAGTAATATGGCTTTATCTTCCTTATTGTGAGTAGTAAAACTGTCAAGATATTCATTTCATCAGTAATATTATTTAAGCGCCATGCACCAACTTTTCACTATGCATCAGCTAACAATGCGCTAAAACAATACAGAACTGATATAAATATCTTGACAGTTTCCAGAACACAAGGTTTATTCACCATAAATCATACGTTTCCAAACGTACATTGACCTCAAGTTTCTTAATGAATTAAGAAAGGTAGACAATGAGGACCTAACAATCTACAATAAACTATTTTACAGTTATCTAGAAACTCACACAAGCTTGCTAAAAGAAACCAGAACTGTCATTGTGAGGAAAGCTAATATCCCCCACACAGCCAAAGACTTCTATATACCAAATTTGGTCAAAACACCAGGACAAAGGTAAAAACATTGAAAATTAATCAGAGGCCAGGATTTTGAAACCATGGTTGAGGTATAACTCTATGAAAAGGGACCACATCTCCATAATGTACGAGCCATTTTCACAAAAACAGATCCATTGTAAACTGAGAGTGTGTGTTCATTTTTACTTAGAAGAACTCACTGAAAAAGGGGAAAAGTGGAAAGTCATTTCAGGGGGCACATCTCAATATTGTACTGGCCATTCCTACAAAACTTTAAAAAGATCCACTGATAGACGAATGGACAGATGCACGGGCATACCCAAACACCTTCCCTTGCCTCAAATTTATTGTGGGGAGTATAACAAGAATAATGCCAAAAAAATGTAAACATATTCATATCTGTTCACCCCTGGAACCCACAGCATCCATGTTTGATATCTGAAAAAAACCTCTATCTATTTTAAAACTCAAACCTGAAGATTTCCAGAAAAGGATTTGTGTCCCAAAACATGTCAGATTTTGAGAGGAAAAAAATTGAAAAAGCAGTTTCACTATGCTTATTTTCCTGCTTGCTTTCCAAGAAATATTGGACAGAAGAGACAATTCAAGCTTCTACTGGATGAATGACCAACACCAAATGATATCTTGGAAAATGTTTTTTTGTAGCGATAAGCTCACATGGCCATATATGGTAGGTTACCAGTAAAACTGTCTGCACTCTCACTAAAAACAACACAACAGATTGTATAAATAAAGATCACATGTCTTGTAAGCTATTTCCTGGTTCAAAGGTCAACTCAACAGGCACTATTCTGAAGCAGAAGACCTAAAAACAGTAGGATAACAGGAGGCATCATCAAGTGAACAGAATATAAACAAAGATGGTGAAATTGATGGATGTGGTTTTGATTGTCACATGTCTTCTTTGGCCATCATCATGGCCAGATAAGGTAGATTATCGGTATAACAACCTATACTCACACTCGAAACAACACAACAAATTGTGTATGTGGATATTACATGACTATATGATGTGGTATAAAATCAGGTTAAAGATTTCATTGCAAATTAATTCATTTGACATGAAATAGCAATCTGCATAATTCATTACAATTATTTAAATAATATGATTTTTTTAAGCAGTTTTAGTTGATACAGATGTTTACATAATTGATTTACTACAGCTTGTGTAATATTTCTAAGCATCATCTTATTAACATTATACAACAAAAACATATTTCACACTCTGTAATATACTTGTGAGGATACCTGCTACTTAACTAAAGTTTAATTGTGCCAATCCCAAGTGTTGGAAACAATTCACAGTTGATATCGAATGCCATGGTGTTTAGGTAGGCAAATACAGAATAGTGTCTGTCCTCTATTACAAAGACTACTACCTCCGACAGTGTCTTCTCTTGTGTATACAGGTTAATGTCCTCTAAATCTGGGACGCTCACGTTTCATAGACACATGACTTGTGTATACAGGAGTGTGTCACAACAGTATTGCTGTTAATCTTGATACTATTTTGGCATGTTTATTTAACCTCAGGTGATCAATGACTTTTCTTATATCATTTACGATGTAGAAGAGCAATCTAACAATGTTCCCTTCACCAACTAATGTCATATTTACCATGATCCGTTTATTCCTATAGAAGATACAGGGTAAATGATTTTGAAGATTTCCTTCTATTTCTAAGATGGGAAAATCTAGTCTAGGAGAGCCAGACTCTCTATCAATTTGCTTCTATTTATCCTCACAAACCTCTATTTCCTTTTTTGGGCCTTTAATAGAGCCAGACTCTGTTAATTTCCTTCTTTTTTTCCTTTTTGGTCCCTAGTAGGGCCAGACTCTCAATTTACCTCTATTTCTATTTGAGCCTTCAGCAGGGCCAGACTCTATTTATCCATTTGGGTGTCTAGGAGGACAGATTCTCTATCAATTAACCTCTATCTATCTTAATGAATTTCTATTTCCCCTTTTGGGCCAGATTTACCTCTTTTTTCCCTTTTTGGTACCTAGTAGAGCCACACTCCCAGATTCTCTATCAGTTTACCTCTAGTTCTCCATTAAGGCCTCTAGGAGGTCAAGATTCTCTGTTAATTTACCCCTATTTCCCTTTTTGTTCCCTAGAAGGGGCAAACTCTTGAACTCTTTATTAGTTGATCTCTATTTCTATTTGAGCCTTCAGTAGGGCCAGACTCCATTTCTCCATTTGGGCCTCTAGGAGGGCCAGACTCTCTGCTAAGTAAGTCCATCCCTTCATATTTTTTGGGAAAAAAGTTGATTAACAGGCAATTTCTGTTAATTTACCTCTATTAACCCTATTGGGCCTAGAAGAAGACCACCATTACGTCTTCTCTGGCCATCATCCCAAGACATAACATCATGCAAAAATCAAACAATAGACAAAAGGAAAGACTTGTAAATCTGAACATTGTCATGAGTGCAGCCTTGTGAGTTCATTTATTTTTAAAAATTATCTGATACCTCCCCATCTAGATTTTGACATGTCTTTTGGTCATTTGGATTTTCCTCAGTCGCCTCCTAAGCTTCAAAATTTAGGCCCTTAACATACCTCAGAAGTCCTAAAAGGACAAAACAGCTGCATGTTGCATTTTCATTAATTTATGGCTTTACTGCATCAAACTCAAAATTTGTATTAAAAGTTGCTTGTCACTTGTAAGTCTTTTATATTACCCTTTAATTATGATGTAACATCTTGGAAATTGACCATGAAATGTTACCAGTAGACTAATAGGTATCCAGTTTAGACAATATAGTCAATATTTTATTCACAATGGTTAATGCGTACATATACCTTTTCATAACAATACCGGCTCCTCCATCTGGGAATGGTGATAATTTATTCTTTGGGTGTGCTGACTGAGCAGATGGTATGCTAGTTCTAGGATAAGAATGATACCGATTGAGTTGACCTCAGCCTTGATGAATTTTTCTATACTAGACTCACCTGATACACTTGGTACATACTATTTCCAGTATACATTATCGTTTATTGTTTGCTTAATTCTTATTGATTTTTCCAGTTGATCATTCCATATCAATAGTGTTCTTAATGATAAATTTTTTTTCCATAGCATGTTCATTCCAGATTAATATTTTTCTTATTGATGAGTGTTTTTTTCTAAGCGTTCTCCATTCTTTGAGTATTTGACAAGCCTTTCATTCCAGGGAGGTACTTAGGTCATTTTTCTTTGGACTCCCTCTCTCATGTCCAGGTAACTTTTGAGGTGTGATGCCCCTACAGGACTACTATAGTGTAGTTGTGAACGTAAAATATATCTTTATAGAGAAAACAGAATTTTGTGCAATATTCCCCTCCCCCATCTCTCAGGTGCTTCTGACCAATTTGGTCAAAATCCATTCAATCATTGGTGAGTCCAAACAAAGAAACTAAATTCTGGATTTAATTTGAATAGCACTTATACTATGAGAAACTGTGCTAAATGAAAAACTAGCCTTTCAGCACCCCCAGTTTCCAGAGTTGTTAGTATACAAAATCTGGATAATACTTTTGACAAAGATGGGTGTGTTGAAATGTCCTCTACCTTTTGTCACAGTTGAAAAAATAAAATTGCATCCCTTTTAAACATAAATAATCTATGTTGAAATTGGTTAAAATCCCATCATTCATATAGAGTAAGAAGAATTTAGAAGATTTTGAAGATTTACCTCCAATTTCTCTAAAGGCACATTGGCCAACATACATGGGTAAGCTAGAAATGACCAAAATGAGTTGTTTGTGTAAGAGTTGTTTGTGTAAGAGTAAGAAGCCTACCTATGCCATTAGCTGCCCAGATGTTGTGGTCATCATTCCTCAGCACTTGTTTGTACATAGCAAGGGCTCTGTCCTGGTGACGCTTTTCCTACAAGGTCAACAGAGGTCAGGTTATTCAGCAAACTACTACAGCATCACAGGTAGATACAACAATACTAAAGATCAAAAGGTCACTCAAGACACGAACTAACTACAGATGAGTAGATACAGCAATGCTGTGTGTCAAGGAGTCAAAAATATCTCCACATTTCACAAAAGACATAATCTTCTATGAAGAGAGATGCTGCTGATATACAAAGATGAAACAAGAAATGTCTAGAAGACATGAATACCCCTGCTCCTATGTAAACAAGAGTTTAATGAGGTGTAAGACTTCATGAAATTTTTATGTAAACAAAATCTGTTCAGTGGCTCAAGATTTGCATAAAACTTCACACAAAGGGATATAACTAGATACTAACACTGACGAACATTCAAAGGGAGCTAACTTAAGAATATGTTGTATTCCATAGAGCTTAGCAATAAAAGACATAGTATAGTTTACAAAATGTAATATCAATATTTACTTTGATTACTAAAACTTAATAATTTTTGGACAGAAAATTGAAATAAAGTATTATCTTAATTTTTAAACCTTGTCTTTGTCTCTCATTGGCAGATGGAGTGAAGACAGCCACACATTGCCGAGGGCTATCAGTGAGTATGCATCATTCTTGGTGTTTGGCCGACTAATGATACGTTCAAACTTCTTCTGTCCAGGTCCCCACTCCTGCTTTGCCAAGTGAAGGTTTCCAATCAAAGACCAAGCATCTGGGTGATCCTGATCAATTAGAGGCAAAATGAAATCTAACAATCTTATTGTATCTATTAAATTTCAGAAAAGGATAACATACTAATTTTAACTTAAAACACGACAGAAATAACTTTGAATCCATATTTCTCAAATGGAATTATTTTAATCACTTACAACTGAAAATGTATTTATTTATACAATACAGCTATTTAAAAAAATAAATTAATTTGAGAGATGTTTTATATTTTTGAAAAAAGATTAAAATTTATTGACATTAAACAAAGTCATTCTAATGAATCAAATATGCACCTGGTTGATCTGCAATGCTTCTTTGAACCAATCAGAGGCTTCGTAAATCTGGCCCCGATTTCTAGCCATACAACCAAGTCGCAGATAACCTTAACAATAAATATACAAGAAAGAATGACATGAATATTAGCAAAAGCAATGGTCATACTTTATTAATATCCCCCATTATTTCTGTCTAAGAAGACTTAACATTCATAACTTCTGACAATATTATTGACTGCAATCAAACACTTTGTGTTATGTCTTTTAAACTTATATACAAAGACGTAACTTAAAACTTACAGTCAACATAGTTGGGATGTTCTCGTAGAATGTTCTTGTAAAGTCTCTCAGCCTCATCATACTCATGAGTGGCCTCATGCAGTCTAGCCAGGTTATAAGTTGTTGTTACTGAGATAGCACTGTAATATGTCTCATCATGTTGAGCGTCACTCTTTGATCGTTCCAAAGACGCTTCATAACATTTCTGTAAGTCAAGTTTCCATTATTAACAATAATCATTTCTTATTTTTTAACAAGGATTAGTATCTGCGTTAAATAAAGTCAAGTTTTATTCTGTAAGAAACCTGGGGTAAACTAAATATAATGGCAATTTCTAAAGCATTGTCTTAATTATATCTGTGCAATTCTGAACAAAAACAAAACCAACCAACCAACCCCCCAAAAAAACAACAACAAAACAAAAGAAAGAGACGAGGACAGATATGTGATATATACATGTTAATTTACTATACAAACCTTGGCCTCCTGTAGATTACCAAGTCTGAAGTGGAGGGCTGCTACATTGTTGAGGATTTCTGGTGGTACATCTGCTTCAACTTTCTCTTTAAGAATCCTTGTAGCAGTTCCATATGCAGACAAGGCACCCTAATCCAATCAAGTCGATTTCAGTGAATGAAAGAAAAAAAGATAATGAACAGGCATTTCAGTATAATTGATACATTTCATCTTTCATCTCAGACATACTCATGCTAGGCCTTTGAATTATTATCCTGAGGAATGAGGTATCTCTGTCAACATTACATAGAGGTGAGTATTTTTTTTCACACTTTCATATCATCCAATATTGGAATTTGTTGCCATTACATCAAACATGAAATGTATGTCAAATCGATTTTTTTTTAATTCTGACATTATCCTACCATGAGTGGCATCATTTTTGGAATTAAAGAAATTCTACAGACAGTAAATTATAATAACAGGATTGTAAGCTTTAATACCTGAACATCAGTCTGTTCCAATATCTGGGCAAGTTCTATCCAAGCCTCCACATCATCTGGAAACTGCTCTGTTACTTTCTTCAAATGTTGCTACATACAAAATAAAACATGAACAAATAGACCTATACTTAGGTACAATGCTTTGAATTTATGATAGAAATATTGCTTAGACAGGAGTTTTTGAGAATTGTCGATGAAAAATGTCTATTGTACCAATATGTATGTACTAAGCCAGCACTGACTGTGATTTGAGTTGATAATGTTAAAAAGTTATTATCTATTGTCAATTTATGAATGGAAATGTAATTCAAACACATTAACTACAGATTTGTATGAAACACTTTTCAATTCTTCATGTTTTTAATTAAACTGACCTTATAGTCCACAAATAATCTTTATAAGGGAAAAAATTCCTACATTGAAAAATAAAAGTGTACACTATATAGACACATTCAAGGCAGTTTAATTTTTTTTTTATCAAAATATGACCAGTGTTCTGATTTCCCTAATTTTATCTGTCTTTTTTGCAAAAATTATAATGATCGATAGCCTGTTTTCCAATTACATATCATACAAAGCCTTCATAAACCAGTATCCTGTTGAAGCAAGCTTCATTTAGTAAATTGTAACTACTAGTGATGCATTTATATATGGAAAGTTACCTTGGCAATATCTCGTTTCCCAAGGTCCTGAGAGTTCGCATACAATGAGCCAAGGATCTTCATAGTCTCATAGTTTCCTGGTTGAATCTTCAAGACTTTTTCAAAACACTGAGAGGCCTGTAAATATACAATGCACTTTATCAGGAACTGTACAGTTATGTGTCAACTCAATGCACACAATAATGGCTTTTCAAAAGTGGAGGACTATTTTTTTCAAATATCTTAAAAGCTTTTGAAAGAGTAATACAAGGTTATCTAATTATCATTCACAACACAATATCTAGTCATCAGTATTTTCCCAAAGGAAAGTTAATGAAGAGAGATAAATCCAACTCCTTTCAAATCAATTCATGATGCTTTTAAAAATTGCCTTACATTTTCATTGTCTCCACGGTAGATGTACATCTGTCCCAGACCAAAGAATGGGAGGACAAAGTTAGAGGGAGAAAACTGGGTAGACTGGTAATAATACTGGAAAGCCTGGTCATAATCATTCTGAAATTAGAATAACATGGTGTCAGTCAAAAATGGTGAGTATCAATGTCATAATGCGAGAGATTGAGACTAGACAGCAATATATGTATTATACATAATATATACAGAATACTAGTCTTACACTAAGATATTGACAGATTTTTTTTATCCATTGCTTCATCTTTAGAACATCTTTAATTTGAAAAAAAAAACTATTTTAGACAAGGCAATCTTAACTGTACAAAATCTGAATATAGAACCAATGATATCTTTCTTACCTGTACATGGAAAGCACGTGCCAGCTGGTAGCAACTCTCTGCCCTCATGGCTTCATTTTCTGTGTTGTGGAAGGCATGTAGTGCAAGGTGCTGCACTTTTTGGTAATCCTATCAAAAATGAGTGTGAAAGAAAGATTTTGTTTGATATAAATTATCCAGGAAAAATAGAAAATTTAAAGTTTCTTCAGTTCATGCTAAAATGGCATAATTTTGATTCTCAACAAAAATCTCCTGTTTTCTTAATTTCATTGAAGTTACTGCCATATTCATTCAATATTAAATATTTTCCCTGAAAACTTTTGATTTAAATGCATCTCAAAATAGTAATTGAGAACACCTTCTGTAAGTTTTTAACCTGTATTTAGCTGGTTTGTTTGAATATCTGTTACAATACAGTCTCTAAACAACATCATGAAAAAAATGTAAGCGAAATCAAACCTAATCACTGATGTTACATCTTTATACCAATGTGCTCAAGCGATCAGATTGTGTATTTAAAAGTGTTTAATGAAGGCTAGTTCTTTGTATGTACCTTTTTGTAAAAAAAGTGGTTGGCAAGGTGGTTGAGGACCATGGGGTTGGAGGAGTCAATGGTGTAGGCCTTGGAAAGGAGCTGAACACCAGCCATAATGGATTCTTGTGTCTTGGCATTCACCTCAAGGATTGCCAGCCCCACTTGTGCCCCTACACACTGAGGATCTAACTGAAGAGCTCGCTCAAATGCCATTCTGAAACATATCCAAGAATTCACAACTGATCTTAAGGATATTGCCTGCATTAAAACATTTAAATATATAATGATTGTTCTTATCATAAAAGTTCAGGTAAAATATATATACATAGCTACCACTGATATCGTCGTAAAACTCTGGTCAAATTAATTTTCTACAAGTCTATTCCATATGAAATATTCTTAGTACAGTTGTCTGACACATGAGTATTATGAAACTTAAATAAAAATACTCTGAATCAATCCATTTCATGTTGATCCAATATCAAGATTCTATCAAACTCATGAAGGAACCCTCAACTCAAAAGTGAGGTAGTGTTGAACATATGGAATTGCATGGGAGGTAAATGTATATCACAAAATCTCTATAATAAGTCAAAATTCAATTCTTACTAGGAATTTCATTGCACAATCTTTAGTTTTTTTTTCTTTTTCTCCTCTAAACTTTATGATTTTGAACTAGAGGTATATCTAATTCAATAATATATCTGACTTCCTATGGGGTTTTATGATGTAGTGCCTGATCTTAAGACAATTCAATAGATGATTACAGCTGAAGTTTACCTTGCTTTTTCTAGTTTGTTAAGTTTGACGAAGCAGTGCCCCATCCCTAGTCTGACAGATGCTGGACAGCTGGGATTTGTCCTTAAAGCTTTCTTGTAGTAAGCCAGTGCTCCTCTGAAATCCTTTTTGTTAAAGGCAATACAGGCTTTCCCCAGTAATGATGGAATGTTGTTACTGGTCTGTAAATGAAATTGAAATATCCTCTACATATTTTGCAAATATCAACTTCAGTTTTCATACGACAGTCACAAGTATCAGATACTAAAGTCCACACTAATTCAATCCACCCATTGAACTGAGAATGTAATAAATTTAGGTAAGCTTAAGAAACATTCTCTATGTCATGCTTAATATATGTGACAAGTAGTAGCAGATGTGTACTACATTTAAATGATAAGAGCTCTTCCATGGTATGTGCCATTTTTGCATTACATTTAAACAATAACATTTGTCTAGAATATGTGTCATTTGTATGGTGTGAGCAAGTCATATGTGTATTACATGTAAACAACAATACCTGTCCCAACACAAAGTTAAACTGTGCATCAGCCTGGTCCATCTTGTCTCCTTCCAACAGACAGAAATATGCTCTTCCCAACAGATGGCTCTAAAAAACGAATAGAAAGAAGTTCTTGTTTAACATTTGATTCTGTAATGCTTAAAAAGAGCAATAACTCTGCACCTCTAAAAAAAATACTTTATATATTACACATACAAGTTACCCTGAAAACCACAAAAATTACAACTACTCAAGCTCATAAAACTAAAAATCAAAGAAATCTATGCCGTTCTTAGGATTACAAAATCGTATCATGCAAAAACTTACATTAATCATTCGTAGTCTTATTTATATTATAAATAAAAATTACATTCCATAATTTTTCTTTATAAAATACTATTCTGGATAATTTTGAGTACTGTAGTATTCAGTTTGCTTGAATTTCATAATCAAATTGTATCAAGTCATAAACATTGTAAACATACTGAAATTTAGTTATATACAGCTGCTTTGATTTATTCAGTTTATACCTGAAACTTTTAAAACACATGCATTACTTCTACTTTGAATGCCATAATTTCAGTTAACCTGTTAACAGTGCAAATACCCATAAAATAAATCTATCTCTCAAATATCTATGTCTACAATATTATGATCTTTTTCAATTCAAACGTATTGTAAAACAAGACCAAGTTACCTGATCATACATGATGATTTTGTCAGCTGTGGTGTAGAGGAGAGTGGCCTGGGTAAAGAGTTCTCTCTTTTTGTCCTTGTTCTTCTCTTTATGGGCCTTCTGTACATAGTATGCTGCCAAGGTGTCAAGGGCTCGCATCTGGTCACGCTCAAAATTGTGGTAGTCAAGTCCTGCATCTGTTCGGGATGCATCTAGAATCTTCACAAAATCTTCTACGTAATTGGATTTGTAATATTCCAGCTGAAAAAAATTGATGTGTTTGAATGTAAAGAAATGAAACTTGATTATTTATGAAAGAGGAGATTAAAAAATTATGCATACAAAATTTTCAAGATTTTAATAGTTCAATGAACTAAAATAGTTGTATTGACACTATCTCCTGTACCAGCTTATAGTAGGTGCTTGATAAGATTACCAGAATACAAGGGCAATCTTGAAAAGTTGAAGATAAATATTTGGTGATTCCCTTACACAGAAATATAAATTTTCAAAAGAAAATGTAATCATCATGCTAATTATAAGGCTTAGAAAAACAAAGTATCATGACATCAACTTACAGCAAGAGTGACCCAGATGTGCAGTGGAGCCACTTCCTGTCGTAAAATACTGAGAACTTCATCTCCTTCTGGCAGCTGGTCTAAATCAAGCTCGATCACCTTACAAAAATAATCATAATAACATGTCAGCAAGATGTTTTTATCAATTTGTTAATTATAATAAAGGATATCAAATATTCTAGGCCTAGAAAGATATGCTGACTGTTCCCTAAAATAACATCGCACAAACTCTTCTCCCATAATCTTTTCACCTATTTTTTTTTTTTTGGTATACCACAATCATCGATTATAGAAGTATCTATCATGATATCAAAAGATAACTTAAAAGTTTTTTGTTTTATAATATGCATATATACCTACCGTATTTGTCCTAATAAGAGCGCCTGGCGCCGGTAAAAAACCAGTAGGGTGCATTTACTAAATAGTCATGGGGTTGTCAAATATCAGGAAGTATGAAGTTACAACATAGTTTAGACTTAAATCAATATGTTACAAATGCCGAGGTGACACTTAATTTTCCACTAATACACCTGAATTGAAACAATGTTATCACTTTCACAAATTGTCAAGACCATCACGTACATCTAGTCCTCATCTCTGGATGCTTGCCAAAAATTTCCATGACCAGTCGGTACTGGTGATGTGTCAAATTTTGTCTCAACACGTGTTGGAGACTGGCAACACTACAGTATGCCATTTTGATCAAAATGAAAAGTTGCGAAAACAAATTCAAAATTAAGGTGATCGAATTTGCCAAAGAAAACAGTAACCATAACGCCGCTAGTCATTTCAAAATTCATAGAAAATGTGTGCAGAGATGGCTGAAAAATGAGGAAAAAATCAGAACCAAAGGAAAGCAGCACCGTAAATGTTCCGGCAGTGGAAGGAAAGTGAAAAATTTGGACACTGACAACGAACTTATGACTTGGTTAACAGACCGATTATAGAAGGGGGTCCATGTAACTGGAAAAGCACTCAGGGCTGAGGCATTACGGCTTCATGAACTTAATGGATGTCAATCTTTTAAAGCTTATAGCGGATGGTTTCACTCTTTCAAACGGAGACATCAAATTTCTATGAGACAGACTACCCATGTAGCCCAGAAAAGTGTATCTGCAATCGATGATCGGGTGGATTATTTTCTATGAATCATTACTCGCATGAGGAGACTGCGTAATTATGAACATCAAAATATCCGTAACATGGATGAAACAAAGATTTGGAAATAGCACAGAGTGTGAATGACAACAAAACAGTTGACGTCGAAAATTTTGAACTTGGAAGCAAGTCAGAAAGTGACTCTGATATGGATAAGGACGATTATTACCATTGTGATAGTCCTGGCCATTGATCATTCAGACCTACCAGTATATTCCGATGTGTGTTGACTTTTTGGGATGAACAATAGAATGTTAGATTCTAGATCTAGTTCAGTGATATAGAACTTTAATGAAGAGTAACGTTACTTTCACAAACACTTAAATATTTTTGGATATTAAAATGTTTTTCTAAAGGTAAGAAATTTATGTTATATTTATTCACTTACAAAAAATATTGCTCTTATTAGAGCAGACGCCCTTAAAAGGACAAATACGGTATATATCCAAATACAGGTTCAGACAAGCACACCCACCCCAGTGCCAACCAAAGACATTTGTGTTCAGGAAGTAAGCATATGCATACATCAATTACAATTACACGACAGGCTAATATCCTGTAGAGGAACAAATATCAGACAATTATTGACAGAGTCTGTATATAACTGTATGCTGGAAACTAAAAAGCGATCAATACTGATGCTCCATCACAGATAAGTATATTTTAACTATAAACTTCAAATAAGCCAGTCATTTTCTTTTCTTTCTTGCCATGTAATTCATAAACAATACAACAGTACAACAAATTTGTTTATATTTACAAATTTCAATTTGAAAGACCTACGGGCAGAACAGTTAAAACAATAACACTTATAGCAGCATGAGAAAATAGCAAGTTGTTCCGATATTTGGGTTCACTAAATGTTCGTTACAACACCAAAATAACATTCAGTCTTTATCAGAGCAGCTGCAGTGTGAACTGATGGAGCAGCAGTGTTTATTATGTACCCCAAATATTCCATCTGTAGTTCTAACGCAGGTCAAAGGAAATGACTGCCGCGATATACATTCAAAATATGGATAGAAAGATAATGTTGAAGAGGCACACAGTTTGACTACTTACTTCGTCTGTATCCCGGAGTGGGATTTCGATCGAGCCAGCCGCCATGCTTCTTTCCGGGAGCGGTACGTGATTGTATTTGATGATTCGATTAAACAAAATAACAAACCAAATTAAAACTCAATATTTTCAATTCATTCGAGGTAAAATAATTCATAGAAATATTAAGATACATTACTTTCACAGACTTGATGCAAATGCCTATTAATTAAAAGAGAAATAATGACTTATCCTGGTAATTAGCGACATCTATACTAGTATATCCGTAACGAAGACCGATAACTCCTTCAGAATGTCAAAATATTTTAACAGCATTTTTATTACAGTTTATATTGGTTGTTAGGCATCAAAATCCGACACAGCTGTCGTATAGATAGCGACCAAGAAACAAAATGTACAGTAGACATAATTGATATTCCTGTCCACCTTATAATCCTGTGTGTATTATCAAAAGGAAAACAATAGCCCATTGTAATATGAATGAAAAAAGTGGAGGCACTATTTAAAAGATTCAAAACCTTTCTTGATTTTCTTTTAGTCCAGTTTCTGATAAATGAATATTTTTTTTGGAATAATATCTCAAAAGGCTTATGTGAATTTAAAATTCTAATTACCATTCAACTGTAATTTAATCATATCTATAGTCTCTTCACAAATCACTGAGATTAAATGTTTCATTGTTATGTAAATACTCGCGAAGTTTGAAATTTAAATTGCGATAATAACTCAGAAACATGCCTCCAAATCCCTGATATTTCTTTTTGTTTTTTTGAGAGGTTCATGTATTGATGCACGAGATTGTACACAAGCTTTTTATTCCAAACATGATCTAAAGTGACTGAGGGCCACCAAATTATATACTCATGTGTAGAACTGGATGTTGTAAAACTATGATGTAAATATGAATTAAAATCTGTCGAGCTTTAAGCTTGACCAATGATAATGAAAATGTACAATGAAAATGTGATTATGAACTAAAGACCGTTGAGGGTTTCTTTGCTTTGAGCTTATAAGCTTGACCAATGATCACCAAAATCTTTTTCAACAATGTGAATATAAGCTGAAGTCTGTTGAAGGTTCTTTTTGCTTTGAGCTTATAAGCTTGACCAATGATCACTAAAATCTTTTTCAACAATGTGAATATAAGCTGAAGTCTGTTGAAGGTTCTTTTTGCTTTGAGCTTATAAGCTTGACCAATGATCACCAAAATCTTTTTCAACAATGTGAATATAAGCTGAAGTCTGTTGAAGGTTCTTTTTGCTTTGAGCTTATAAGCTTGACCAATGATCACTAAAATCTTTTTCAACAATGTGAATATAAGCTGAAGTCTGTTGAAGGTTCTTTTTGCTTTGAGCTTATAAGCTTGACCAATGATCACCAAAACTATTGCGACAATGTAAAAATGAACAAAAAATCTACTGAAGGTTTCTTTGCTTTGAGCTTATAAGCTTGACCACTGATCACTAAAATCGATTATATGAATATGAATTACAGTCTGTTGAAGGGTTCTTTACTTCGACCTTTAACCTTGACCAATGACCACCAAAATGTACTATAATGGGTTGAATATAAATTACAGTCTGTTGAAGGGTTCTTTACTTTGACCTTGAACCTTGACCAATGGCCGCCAAATCTAATCAGGTTAGAACTAGGATATTGTGATACTCATTTTTTTTCAACAAACAGACTCGTGCTATTGAAATGCATGTCCAGGAAAGGGAAATATTGTAAGAAGTAATTTTTGTTTTACTTTATAATGCCCATACGACATCATCAGCAATGCAACAGCTCTTTAAATTCTATTCAATATATAATCTTGGACACATCTATATGGTCATTCAAGTCTCACTAACCATTGCTTGTCTTCAATTCTTCATGATATGTAGGAGAAGGTTGTGTTATTTTCATAACAACAATCAATTTCTGTTGTGACCTTGATCCAAAATTCATTAATAATTTGTAAAAGTTAACCTGGTTTACAGGTTACTTGATATATATCTATGGATAAAATGACAGAGTTTGTGGTCAATAGTTTCCTGCACAATGTATCAATGATGTTTAATTGATGCAAAAATGCACACTTCCAAAAACAACACAAGATGATGATATTATTATATTACTATTTATTTCCAGTAATGTAATCGCTGCAACCTTTGGGTTGGTACATCCCAATTGCACTGCTGCCCCAATACAAACATGCATTAGTGACATTCACAAATAAACAAACTGTTTATAAAATTCTATCAACAATGTTAACAATATAAACGGCACCAGAATCAAATTGCTCCAAAAACTGCTTACAGTCAGAAACATTTCAAACGATTCTATTTTAGTCAGAAACATGTCAAACTCAAAAAGGAAAACTTTGCAAGCTTTGGATTCGGAGCAATCTGAATCTGTTGGTAAGACTAGACAAGTTGTGGTTTAATTTCTTTGCAAAATGATTATCTGTATTAGTGGTTTAACATCACCATCCACTATTCTGTATCTGTGTCTGTTTGGAAACTTCAATGTACTTCATATAGATAAGTTGATAAACACGAAAATTAAAATGATTTACAACATACATTGTATTTGCAAAAGCCCATATTGTACATAATTACAAGTTCATAGCATACATATTCTGTTTGCTAGAAAAATACATAAAATATGAATAAATAAAAGGAAATAGGAATACACCACATATCAATAAAAAAACCCATTAAAACATAATTAATTTACAATCAGTTTGATGAATGAAGTTTAAAGCCACTCTTTCAAAATATTCAATAATGTCAATTGACATGAAAATGAGGATTATCTACCTGGTCAAAACAGAGTGACTTTAATTTTAGTGGAGAGATAACTTCAAATCATCTTAGTCACGCATGATTTCTCACAGGTTAATAATAAATATTTGGTTTGTAAATTGACTTTCCCTGTGATCTGTATCAGAAAGTAAAAATAAATCACTTGTCAGCGACATTTCTATGGATAATATCATAACACCTTTTTTTTTAACATCATATTAGGTACATTGATTAAAAAAAAATGCTACAATGTCTATGCGTACGAATTCCAAATATTGATGCTTCAGGATGAATTTTATAATTCTTTTTTTTTTCTTCTTTCTTTCTCAATTCAGAAAAAACTAATTTATTCTGAAAAACTTTCAAAATCAAAACACATTGTAGAGAATTTTAGCGAAGGAATAAAATTTATTCTTGGAATGGTGAGAGATGGTCCCAAACAAGAGTAGTTAACACACAAATGATGCAATAGCAAAAATACTCGGTCATATCCGTACAGTTGATGTCTACAGCATACCTTAAGGTTCAAAATGTCCCCATCATCAATTATAACTGTTACATTTTATACTTCATTCCCATTTCACTTTTGATTTAACATTTGAACCAGGTTGTGCCAGGTTCTCCAAACCATACAGATGGGGTTAAGGTCTAACAAGTACATCTGTACTGGTTTTATTCTTGTATAACTACAGTATGTCTACATACAGTACTGCTTTTAATTTGTATGCCAGATTAATGGACTTAAATCAATGCTGTTCAAATTTGGTCAAAAAGAGGGTGGGGTCATTTAAGAGCATGACCCTATCATGACTGAAATTCTAGGATAAATATATATTGCCTAGTAAATAAATTATTAATTAAAGACCAGATTTTATACAAATTTTTGAACATATAAAATAACATTAAAGACATAATATTTATCTCACTATCATTGTTTGTAGAATATATCATATAAATATATATAACAATATCATTCACATCTGGATAAAATGGCCTTAATATAATAAACAGTCAATCTTAATATTTTTGAACAATTGAAACATTTTAACAATACACATGAAGATATACAAGATAGGCATTATGTGACACCGGTAATAATATGTCTTGTTTCCTAATTGTTAGCTTATCCTAATTAGTTATGTACAGTTAACACAGAGTAATATGTGTATGGGTTACATGTCTTCAAAACTGTTAATTTTCTTTAAGGAATGTCAATATTAACCTATAAAATCCATATTCAACACAGCCGTATATCACTACCTGGCACTAGTTTGGAAGTGAGTTACCTCCCCTAGGTTTCTGATACATTCCCACAACTGCTACAGTACTGCCTATAGATCATTCAACTTTGCTTATATATACTCTCATACAAGGGTGATGAAGATATGCATTTATATATATATATATATATATATATATATATATCAAATAGAAAATCAATGTAAAGATTACAGTTTTTATCATGATATTATTCTCATTTATTACCATATAAAGTTTGTAAAAAAATGTGTTATTGTCTAGCTATCAAACTCCTAAGGTTAATCTATGTATTTCTTTTTATCAACATCTATATTCAGGCAGTGATTCCTAAACAATGAGAAAAGGCATTACTTGAAAAACTGAATTTATATCAAAAGCTATGTATAGAGTCTTCATAATTTGGCAATGTCATGTGTAAATTTTCAGGTATCAGATAAGATGGTATAAAAGTGACATATGATTCCGTGTCCAGTGATTAGAGAGTCATTAATGAAACAAAAATGGATACAATGGAAAAATAGCAAATACATACTTAATGATTGGTCCAGTCGTATAACAGTAATATAACAATAATATTTCCTTCATTAATATGGCAAGTTAATACAGGTAGAGAAAAAAATACATAAAACTACTTTATCCTCTCCAGAAAATATGTTTACACCTTAATGTACACCTAATGAATATCTAAGTTTTAAAGAAAACAATTGATATTCTATGATTTATTTATGTTATTTTCAATAAGTCATTAACTCAATAGGAGTACTGGACATTTTATGTTTGATTTTCAAGCTTTTATTCTAAAACTGCTAAATATCGTTATTCATTTACAATCTCTACGTCAGGGGTCAAACGTTCATGTCTTTCTTTGGTTGATTTGAACCAAGAACTGAAGTAGGAACAGAACATGAATCACTATCAACAATTACAATAATTTATGAAACTGGTCAAATAATTTCAAAATGCAACCAGAAGTAAAACAATAACGTCAAAATAAGTAACAATCCAAATTTAACAGAAACATATTGGAATGGTTTTTGTGTAGAACAGACATGTGATGCTATTACTTTCAAAAGTAATATATCAACAGAGCTAACAACAGAAGTAAACCAGCCTTTATGGAGATGTATTTATCTTTTGTTTTTACCAACTTACCTCCCTTTGTTACGAAAAATCAAACAAAATCATCTACTTTTATCATATCCTTCAAAATTTTTATAGACTTCAACTTAACTACATATCCACTATAACATATACTCACCTCTGTTTCATTTGAGCATAGCTATGAATATGATTTTAATATATGGTCATATGTATAAAGACTACCATATAACACACAGCCATACTGATAGTCAGGAATGCAGCTTTATATTATCAATGGTCGAAAGAATTGGTCACACCGACTGAAATGTCCAGATATATTTACCCTATTTCATTTGTTTCTGTAAGGACAATTTTGTATTACAGTAGCTTCTTGATATGAACTATATTTTTTGACAGTCTCTACTTTGAAGACTTTATTTTAATTGCGACAATTCCCACTGTGAGAGTAGCATCACACCCATACACCATTAGGATTCTAGCTGATGTTGTGTTCTCCAGTTATGGACTTTAACTGATTGTGTGTCCTTGCTCCTTAAAGGGATTTTTATTTATATCATTCTGTTAACAAATGTGCTAATGTAATTATAGAACATAAACCCCCGACACACATCCCAGTAGGGTTCCTACTGAAGATGTGATCACTCCACTGGTGAATTTGTTTTCTGACTTGTCCCAGGGAAGTACGACCTAACACCCACATCCCAGTAGAGTTCCTACTGAAGATGTGATCACTCCACTGGTGAATTTGTTTTCTGACTTGTCCCAGGGAAGTACGACCTAACACCCACATCCCTACTGAAGATGTGATCACTCCACTGGTGAATTTGTTTTCTGACTTGTCCCAGGGAAGTATGACCTAACACCCACATCCCAGAAGGGTTTCTACTGACAGATGTGGTCAGAGAGTTTGTCCAGTGGTGAAGATTTTTTTTTATTCCAACCTGTCCCACTGAAGTGTGAACTCACACCCACACCCCATTAGGATTCTTGCTGATAGATAGTATTTTACTGAGAGGACTGGTAATAGTCTTCCTTCCTCCTAGACCAGGGTGTGGTGAGAGACGGCCCTCCAAGGCTTGTAGTACAGCTGTAAATTAAGATAACTATATTTAGTGATATTCATATTAAGCTAGATAGTTTTTTTGTTCTGTCAATGCTACATTTTGATACTATACAGAAATATCTAACAATCCACAAGCTGAACAGTTCACTTTAGCACTTGAGATCAGCATTCAAATAAAAAAAAATAAAGAATTCAACATCAGCCAAATGTTTTGCACACAACTCAAATCTTAATATAATACAACTGTAATAGTAACTCTTTTATCTCAATTTATAAATCAAAATTGTAACAAATCAAATATTTTAAAGAAATACCAAATGGTTAAAAGTGTGTACAAAACTGTCTTCCGTTATTTTATTGATTTCATACGGAGCTAATAAATGCCAATGGCTATCAAATTAAAGTCATGAAAAGTTAGTCTCAACACCTTAACCTTTTTCATGCTGGACTAAGGAAAGATGAGATACACATATCACACATAAAAAATAAGAAAATTATGATGATCTCTCACAAAATGTATCCTGAAAGCATACTTAAACAATCAACACTTTTCTTTACAACAATAGAGTTACCTACCCTTGCCATTTTTGCCAGTCTTCTCTCCATTACTGACCATATTAAGTTCCTGAATGTTGACTTCCTTTATCTGTTTCTCTAACACATCTACTTCTTTACTCTGGCTTTCTTTTTTTACGTCTAATGACTTCAATTCTTCTTCCATTTCCTGGAGGGATTTTGAGTTTGTGTCAAATATTTCTACACCCTTTTCCAATTCTTCTTTCACATCCTGAGCATCTTTGTTTAGCTGAGTAATCTCCCTTTCCTGCTCTTGTCTGAAGTCCTCTAGTTCCTGTCTTTCTGAAGAAACCTGTTTATCAAGTTCTGTAATCCTCTCCTTGTTCATTGCCAGGTCTTTGATACAAGTGTCAGTTTTACCCTTAATAAGAAGCATATCAGATCTGTAGGATTTCTCACGTGTTTTCTCAGCATTGATTATGTCAACCCAGCTAACAGCCGTGAGTTGCACGACTTCAGCCTCATTCTGATTGTATGTCTGTTGTAAGCGTGTGATCTCCTCTCCAATACTGTGCTTTTGGTCTAGCGCTTGTCGATCCTCATCCTCTAGAGTCACCAATTCTGTTGAAAATGAAATATTTGTGAAGATAACCTTATAAAGTGGAGAATCTCAAACACACATCTTCTATCCTGACAAAATGGTCAAAATTGAACCCTTAAACTCTTGAACAGATAGTCAACAATGTAGATAAAGAAGGGTAAAAAGGTCATGACATTGTATGAAATCATTTTACCATGGACAGACATACAATGTGATTAATACATGAATGCCATCTGATAAGGACGGGGTGCACAGTATTTATGTTCTTTTTATAGATATTTTCACATTATTATAAATTTAAGATATCACACAACATCTAGTATATAGATGAACCAAATTCAAACTGGAAATACATTAATGTTGGATTTCTTTTCAAGCCAATTTTAAAGAACCATAAAGGGTTCATGAAAATTAAGTGACCGAAGAATATTTGATAATGAATTTCATATATGTTTCAAACATATGATTAAAAATTAATATAATTTAGGTAATTTGATTAAAATCAAATCTTTATCTGGTGTTACAGTAAGCTGTATTTACATAGCATACCTGTGTCTATCATTTGTAACTGTGACTCCTGCATCCGTATGCGCTCCTGTTGCTGTGACAACAGTCTCTGCATCTTCACCACCTGAGGGTCTGGTTCAATAATCTCTTTCACACCTATGAACCCATCCCCACTCTGGCGTTCATCAGGCATGGTATATTCTTCGATCAAGACCTCTTTACGTGATGTCTTAAGAATATCTGGAAAGTTGCTGTCTAAGTCGTATTCCTCAACATCACTGTTGACCGGACGTGCATGGTACACAGGAAGACTACCTATTGCCTGTGCTGGCTGAGTCAGATCTAGACTGTCATTCCTCTGTTTCTGTGGAACAGGTTGAAATGCTGAAGGGCGCGAAACATTGTTCTGCACCAATGGCAAGATAGAAATACTTGTCCCATTGTTGACATGGCTACCTAAACTTGGTTTAACATTTCCATTGATGCCAGAAATTTGTTGATTAGGGAATGGATGATTGGTTTTGTTGTTATGACTTCCTCCAATTTGCTGAGAATTATTGTAAGGGGAAGCAACTCTGTGATGTTCAGTTCTGTGCTGAGCCTGCCGAGAACGAGGCCCAGTTTGCTGTTGAAAAGAAGGATGAGGATCTGGATTTACATGAGTTCTCTCCCTTGGATACACATTTCTTCCTTTGACTTGGGAATGAATCTGAACACGAGAGTCCAGGTCAGAGTTTGCATGGGGTTCAAAGTCAGAGTTAACACTATTATGGCTATTAAGGGGTTGAATATTAGGTTGGGGTTCTCCTCCATGTGTGGCTTTCAAGCGAACACCAACTCCATAAATCGGATTCTGTTGAACCTCCCGGTGCCGAGGCAAGATTGGTTGAGAACTAACAGAACTAGTGTCATGTTTGTCTAAGTTTTTTCCTGCCTGTAAATATCTCTGTCGAGGCCGTGCTCCCTCAGGCCCCGTGTTATGAGCACCACTAAATGTTAAAGACCTACGAATCCCTGTGTCGCGTGGAGCAGAGGTAAAATTTATTTTTGGTTTTTCATTTTCTTTCTGTGTATCTGCAATTGGAATGTCTGTTTTTTGTTTCCCTGAGTGCTTCAACAATAAGTGCACCTCTGTTGCATATTCTCCCCATTTCTGTAGAATCTTTATAGGACATTCATCTGGTAAAAGGGGGCGTTCATTTTCCCTCCATTTTTCTATGAGTGTGAAACGCCCTGTTTTGCCCATAGCATGGGCAAGTGCAATGACAACATCCTGGCAGGTAGAGTTTTCTGTTACCCCACACACAACCCTTAGTATTCCATCTACACGGACTTTTAACTCCATCACGAAAACGCTATCACAATCAAGTAACCAGAGATCTTCAAAACAGTTGACCAAGTTGGTAGTTTTCCCATGTTGGCTTTAGCGATATTTCCAACCTGTAACAGAAAAGGACTAGATGTAAAACATGTTTAATGTAACACTTCTTCTGATTGCATTACCATAATTATCAGGCAATAAGCCCATGCCTAATAATAGGCCCGCCCATATTTCAGTAGCTGTTAACAAATTGTTCTGTAATAAGCTTACCTCTTGATTTGAGTAAGAGGTAATAATATGTGTTTGCCTTTGGGTGAAGGATATGTATAACAAATATCATACTTCGTTCAAAATTATAATGGATAGGTTCTAAAATCATTCTACTGTAATTTGTCTATATTTCTTGTGTTCTGGCCTATTGTTTGATCAAAAGTACATTTTAAATTTCAGTCTGAGATCTAGGTTTTACAAACTGCAACTTACAAACTCACATTGTTGCCCAGTTATCTTATCACAAAATATCTCATTATAACTCTACAATACCTAAAAAAAATTTTGCCAGTGTTGAAAATACAAAGACGTTACTGTAAACACATCATCATACCGATACACATTATTTTAATGTTAGTCTTGGATGCACATTTACAGTCACAAGATGTAAATTATTACTCCAGTCATGCCTGATGTGCCTAAAATTAATGCACATAGGGTATCAAATGGCAAGTTACGAATAAAATTTACATAAAGATATTTAAATTTTCAAAGCAACTATATTTATTCACATCATCATAAAACTGTATATATACATCTGAGATATAAGGTAGGGTGGAAATGACCAATCATTTCAGTATACACTGGCTACACATTTGTCCAACACCAACGCATTCTGATCAGCTTATAAAAGTTTTCACTAGAAATCCCAATGATTGATAGAAAATACAATGCACCAGTGACATCAAAAGCCCTACAGATACAGATAAAAATATAGACATTTCTCAAGAAGACAACAATCCTTTTCAGGCTGATGGGGATGGGCCAGTCTGTCACAGGGTCATTGGCCGCATATAATTAATTTGTTCGACTTTCCTCTGAAGTTAACCTGCAGATCTATCAGGCTCCAGCCATCAAACTACATGTCTGTTATAATCAGGGCCTAACTCCACATATACACTTGGATCAAGGCTTAACTGACCTATAAGAATCAGGTCCTAACTCCACAGACCTCTAAGGATTATGTCCTAATTCCACAGACCTTTCAGGATCAGGTCCTAAGTCCACAGACCTTTCAGGATCAGGTCCTAACTCCACAGACCTTTCAGGATCAGGTCCTAACTCCACAGACCTTTCAGGGTCAGGTCCTAAATCCATAGACCTCTAAGGATCATGTCCTAACTCCAAAGACCTTACAGGGGCAGAACCTAACTCCATTAGGATCAGGAGTTAATTATCAAATGTAAGGATGTTGACAAGATCTTGTACAATGTAATTAATAGAAATACATACCTTTTCGAACATTATTTAAAGTTATCTGTAATTTGGTGTCATGATGTGTTGAGCTAGCATGATAAGTGCTAAAGATGAAAGAGTACTAATAGAGTTTGAATTAGTCCGACTTCCTCCAATGGCATCTACTTAATGGATTGTGATAGATAGATTAAGACTTCCTCACAGGCTAGGGATAGCCAAAGGAATTCCCTATTGATACAAACATTTAACCTGCTCAGTATGTTTAAAATCCTACTGATTATTTTTTGTTGCTGTTTTTTTTAAACAGGAAATCTCAATGACAAGAGGAAGGATTGTGAGTCATTTTAGAGATCAAATACACAAAGGGGAAAGTTTCAACCAGGTGTGGGCAATAAACATATATACAACTGTATAATATAGTGTGTATCCTTTGTATACCATTATCTACAGGTACAGTAAACCACTACCTGCCCATAGATACCACAATCTAAATACCACTACATTACCTCCTACCTATCACTATATATACACCACCACCTGTATACTTTCATGCCTATCACCATCTATACCACTACCACATCCCTACCTACACCACTATCTCACCATCTATACCACTACCAAATCCCTACCTACACCACTATCTCACCATCTATACCACTACCTACATCCTACCTACACCACCATCTATACCACTACCTACATCCCTACCTACACCACTATCTCACCATCTATACTACTACCTACATCCCTACCTACATCCCTACCTACACCACTATCTCACCATCTATACTACTACCTACATCCCTACCTACACCACCATCTCACCATCTATACCACTACCTACACCACTATCTCACCATCTATACCACTACCTACACCACTATCTCACCATCCTACCTCCTACAATCTATATACATGTACAACATTCAATGTTAAGTCAGAAACCTTTCATAGTATTAGGTATACATTTGTACCAATACAATGGTACTGTACTACTTTAAAATATAAAGATGAAACAAAAGATTTTTGTGAAAGTCCACAGGCTGTAAAGCACTTAGTTCGGTAAGCATACATCTTATTTGGCATTTCCATCATGGAAGCAGAAAATTGAAATTCTACTGAAATTCTACTTGCATTTTGATGTTTTTTCTCCAATCCCTGAATGACAAAAGACCATGTAAAACATGCCAATACTTTTTCAACAATCTTCATACAATATTTTATGAAAATTACTAATTTGCATTCATACCTCAATGAATGATAAAACTGCCCTTGTTTCTCTTCTTTGTAGTGTAGCATGCTGTACTTACCACATATTTACAATGAATATGGTGACTGTACAGTATAAATTAACACTAATATTACTGTAATGTCTATGATTATCAATAACCTATCTGATGATAACATCTGTTTATTTACATTTAAACACGAGAGGATCAATCTAATCAAACTCTCTCCAACAATAACAGAACTCTATAATCTATATTACAAACCGAAACTAAACCTGATCATACAGTGCTGCTGGGGTCTACATATGCAATGAATTCATTAGAGTATTTTATAATGGTTAGTAATATAAAAAGTAAATCATATTAATTAATGCTGACAGCGATACTTCCTCAAAATAGGATTAAGTTAACACCTGAAACCATTACATTTCCATTTGTATATAATTTGGGTAGAGTGAAATATCCTTTTATTTCATGACCTAACCACACAATTATTGTATAGAAATCTAACAGAAAGTGTTGAAACCTTCCTGATTTAATCTCAAAGCAATCAAGATCTGGGTATTAAAAGTTCCTTCATGAGGTCAAGGCTTATTTGAATTTTATATTTCCTGTATGGAAATTTACAAGGTAGTCTTTTCAAAACATTGGCAGTCTAGCTAGGTTTTATCCTTGTCTCCACGAATTACTGATATTACCAAATTATCTGTTTCCTGTCTGTATTGGATGTCTTGTTATTCTTGTGTGAAATTCAGGCAATAAAAGCACAATTTTTTTTCAAACTTCATTGAGTATTGAAATTCAAATAAAAGCCCTCATGAAAAAGTCTTTGTGATCAATACCACAACATATTTAATTCTGTCTTTGTGTAAAATCATACCCCATAAGATAGTGTTTACATTCAATTAGGTATTGAACACTTAGAACCTCAAGCTACAGATTTACCTAGTCTGGCTGTAGCAGTCACCACATGTCAAGTCTGTATATTTATTAATTTGATTTTTTTTCCAATTAAGACAGCATGACATGTAATGCATGCATACAGGAAGTCATGTCTTATTGATATACAATCAAAAGTAACCTCCAAACTGAGGTTGTTATATCACTATACAATTCAGTCAATTAACTCCATCACATGGTATCAGTATCATACTGATCTAACTACGCACGATAAAAATGTATATACATGTAGTATGAAACCTCTGGACAGAAAACTTTGATGAAGAGGCTGACATGATTGGATTTAATCAATAAGATGTTGATGAAATTGAAAACTTGAGGAACAAAAACCTAATTATATGACCATGTAAAATGTCAAATTGTATTTATTGAAATTTGAGTAGAAATGTCCACAAATGCTACATCGCTGTCTTGTGATATGATAAGAGATTAGTTATTCAGCTCATGGATTCGGCAGGAGAAAGGCAGTAGTTTATATCCTACTAGATACAATGGTATTATAGTAGGGAACAGGTGGTACACAGGTACAGTACTGATAATCATATTGGTACTAGAGTAGGGAACAGGTGGTACACAGGTACAGTACAGATAATAACAGTGGTACTAGAGTAGGGAACAGGTGGTACACAGGTACAGTACAGATATTAATATTGGTACTAGAGTAGGGAACAGGTGGTACACAGGTACAGTACAGATAATCATATTGGTACTAGAGTAGGGAACAGCTGGTACACAGGTACAGTACAGATAATCATATAGGTACTAGAGTAGGGAACAGGTGGTACACAGGTACAGTACAGATAATCATATTGGTACTAGAGTAGGGAACAGCTGGTACACAGGTACAGTACAGATAATCATATAGGTACTAGAGTAGGGAACAGGTGGTACACAGGTACAGTACAGATAATCATATAGGTACTAGAGTAGGCAACAGGTGGTACACAGGTACAGTACTGATAATCATATAGGTACTAGAGTAGGGAACAGGTGGTACACAGGTACAGTACAGATAATCATATAGGTACTAGAGTAGGCAACAGGTGGTACACAGGTACAGTACTGATAATCATATAGGTACTAGAGTAGGGAACAGGTGGTACACAGGTAGAGTGCTGATAATCATATAAGTATTATAGTAGGAAACAGGTGGTACACAGGTACAGTACTGATAATCATATAGGTACTAGAGTAGGGAACAGGTGGTACACAGGTACAGTACTGATAATCATATAGGTACTAGAGTAGGGAACAGGTGGTACACAGGTACAGTACAGATAATCATATGGGTACTAGAGTAGGGAACATGTGGTACACAGGTACAGTACTGATAATCATATAGGTACTAGAGTAGGGAACAGGTGGTACACAGGTACAGTACAGGGTTTGTGAGAACAATGAACACCTTCTTTACAACAATAAACCCTGTTTGTATTGTAGTCTCAGATAATTATTAG